ATTGAGACAGTTCACTTCCTGTTGCCTTTGAGTAAAGATGTAAGAACTCTCAGCTCCAGCACCATGTCTGCCTGCATGCTGCCTTACTTCCCACCATTGACTAAATGGATAATGGGCTGAACCTCTGAACTATCAGGAGCCAGCCCAATCTCCTTTATAAGAGTTGCCATGGTCTGCTGGGCGTTGGTGGTGCACGCCTTTAGTCCCAGCACTTTTGGGAGGCAGAGACAGGCGAATCTCTGGGAGTCTACAGAGAGAGTTCCAGGACAGGCTCCAAAGCTACACAGAGAAAATCTGTCTCAAAAAAACAAAAAAAAAAGGCGGGGGATTATCATGGTCATGGTGTCTCTTCACAGCACTAGAACCCTAACTAAGACAACCATGCCTGGTTGTACTTCTCTCCATTTTTCAAATAAGGAAACTTGAGTCTGGAGGAAGTTACCACCCAGATTTCTGTCATCTACAAAGTGGTAACTGAAACCTTATTTGTCTTTGTCAAACTCTAGAACCAGGTGGTTTACATGATGCTATTTCTTGACTTTTGTTTTAGGAAATACAGTCCTGTCAGGTATTAGCACATACTCAGAGGCAGAGACAGGGAGATCCAGAGTTAATCCTAGCCTGGGCTACACAGTGATACCTCATCAGGAGCCAAAAAGAAAGAAAATACTGACCCCCCATAATAATTACAGGTTTTATAAGGCACTTGTAATCATTTTAAACAGGCTCTAAAATACTTGCCACTTATTTCCAGGGATGCTGTATTTTAAGAATGAGGACTGTCTTAGTTAAGGTTTCTATTGCTGTGAAGAGGCACCGTAACCATAGCAATTTTTATAAAGGAAAACATTTAATTGAGGTGGTTTCATTTTCAGAGTTAGTCCATTATCACCATGGTGCAACAAGGTGACGTGCACACATGGCACTGGAGGAGTTGAGATTCCTACGTCTTGACCCACAGGCAATAGGAAGTGATCTGCAGCACTGACTAGGTTGACATGTATGAGACCTCAAAGCCCATCTCCACAGTGACGCTTCCTCCAGCAAGGCCACACCTGCTCCAATAAAGCCACACCTCCCGGTAGTGCCACTCCCTCTGTGGGGGCCAGTTATATTTAAACGACCAGGGGACTTACGGGAAACAGACACTTACCCAGTCTCTGCAACTAGTTTGCGGTCCCTGGCTTTAGTGGCTTGGCTCAGCCTGCACTCTTAGAGATCCTAGAGCCCTTGGGTACACATATCTGTCTAGGATAGGGTCCCTGTAGTGGTTTGAAAGAAAATGGCCCCCAAAGGGAAGGCACTGTGAGGAGGTGTGGCCTTGCTGGAGGAAGTGTGTCACTGTGTGGGCGGGCTCTGCGGTCTTGCTCAGACTTTCCTCAGTGTGACTGTCAGTCAGCTTCCTACTGCCTGCAAGGTGTAGTGCTCTCAGCTCCAGCACCACATCTGCCTGCACTCTGCCATGTTCTCCGTCACAATAATAATGAACTGAACCTGTGACACTGTAAGCGAGCCACCCCAGCTAAATATTGTGTTTAGAAGAGCTGCCATGTCATGGTGTTTCTTCACAGCAATGAAAATCCTAGTTAAAAACAGTCCTGTTGGTAAGAATTGGTAAAAGGCCAAGAACCCTTGCCATTAAGCTAATGTGTCCCCCCACTAACTGTACCCCTCACAGTATGCAGCAGATCCTCAGGACAAGCACTGGCTAGCTGAGCAGCATCATATGCGGGCAACAGGCGGAAAGATGGTAAGCACTGTTGTCGCGTGTACCGAAGACCCACCCCACCCAGGGACCACGAGTCCAGCTCCTGGCCACAGCTTCGCTCCAAATTTGGTAGATGCCCTAAGCACCAAAACTATGGGAAGGGAGATCTGTGAGGCCTGTTCCTCCATGCTGAAGAGCAGACTGGGTCCTGTTCCTAGGGCTCCCTCTCTCCCTTCTCACCCCCCACCTACATGTCAGATGACTATAGGAAAGGCAGTTTACAAGGCTTTTTGTTTTTGTTTATTGAGACAAGGTTTCTCTGTGTAGCCCTGGCTGTCCTGGAACTCACTCTGTAGAACAGCCTGCTCTCAAACCCAGAGATCTGCCTGCCTCTTCCTCCCAAGTGCTAGGATTTAAGGCAAGTGCCACCACTGCCAAGTTTTATGTCAAATTTTTAAAATATGTTTGTTTCCCAGAAGGCCAGGAATAGTGAATGTACCACACCTGTAATCCCAGCACTTGAGAGGTAGAGGCAGAATCAGGAGTTTAAAGGCAGCCTCCATTATCTGACAAGTTTTAAAGCTAGCCTGGGCTCATGAATCATATCTCAAAAAAGCAACGAAAGGCAATGAGGCAGGCTGCTGGGGATATGGCTCAGGGTTAGAATGCTTGCCTTTGTGTGTGTGTGTGTGTGTGTGTGTGTGTGTGTGTGTGTGTGTGACCCCAGGTTTAATCCCTAGTACTAGCTTTAAAACTTTATTACATTATTTAGTGTGTGTTGTATCTGTCTGTGTATGTGGTATGTATAACCCCAACACTTTGAGGATAAAGCAGGAGTACTGCAGTGAGTTCAAGGCCAGCCTGGGCTACAAGAATTACAGGCCAGCCCCAACCACAGAAACAAAAACAGATACCATATGTGAGCTCAAGGACCAAAGACCGTGGTTCTATACAGACCCGGGAGAACTCAGCGCTGCAGCCACTTCATAGCGGCGCTGCTGACTCAACAAGCCCTTCTCCATACCACTTCCTCCTGTCTCCTCCATTCTGCTAGCGCTCACCATTGTGTTATAAACCACATTGAGTGTGTGTGTGTGCGCGTGCGTGCGTGCGTGGTGTGTAAGCCATAAATAAATTAATCCCCAGAGCCAGGATCCATGACACATGCCTGAAATGCAGCTACTTGGGAGGCTGAAGAGGGAGTGTGGTTCAGGGACCGCCGGAGCAACTCTTTTTCCTTAGTCACTGGATCTACTCCTCTGCCTGTAAAGTTTCTGTTTGAGTAAGGGCACTCTCAAGGAGCCATCCCTGTGCTTTCCTCTGTACTCTTGCCAGGTGATCTGTACTGCACCCTGAGTCTGTCGAGTAGTAGGCCTTACATATTAAGAGTGTTCTGAACTGCTGTGAAATGACTCAGGGGCCTTAATCACTCCCCCTTGCCTCCAGGCCTACCTTCTCATTGAGGAGGACATTCGAGACTTGGCTGCCAGCGATGATTACAGGTAAAACAAAAGGGACTCTCCCTATCCTCCCATCTGCCTCAGTAGGCACACGGATGAGGCCATCACTCTCCCATTAACATCCCTACAATGTGTCCCCCAGAGGATGCTTGGACCTGAAGTTGGAGGAGCTGAAATCCTTTGTCCTGCCATCCTGGATGGTTGAGAAGATGCGGAAGTACATGGAGACACTACGGACAGAAAATGAGCATCGTGCTGCTGAAGCGCCACCCCAGACCTGAGCCAGATGTTCTGGCTACTGCACTTGGCAGCCTGCCTCCAAGACCCTCTGTCCCTGACTGACCGCCTAAGGCCATCCTGGGGACTGGGTCTAATGGGATCTTAGCAGCATTAAGCTGTACATGAGCTAGTTTGTAGTGACTCACCGAAGAGCACCCAGACTGGCATGTGGTTCTGTGTTTTTAAAGTTGTTGGACTAAGAAGCAATTAAACAGTTTGTAATAAACACGGATGGTGAGCCTGCTGTGATGCCTGCCTTGGGGCTGACGAGCAAGGGCTGAAGTGCTAGGCACCTCTGAAAAGGACCACCTACCTGCCCACCCCATCTTACCAGGAAAACTTTTGGGTTTTTATTGTTTGTTTGGTTGTTTGTTTTGGAGACAGGGTTTCTCTGTATAGCGGCCCTAGCTGTCCTGAAACTCGCTCTATAGACCAGGCTGGCCTGGAACCCACAGAGATCCTCCTGCCTCTGCCTCCCAAGCAACGAGATTAAAGGCGTGTGCCACCTCCTTATGCCGAAACCTGTGTTCTCTGCCAGTCTCCCTTGTCCTTGTTCCAATTTAGGAACCCCATGGGGTTTGATGACCTACCAAAGGAAAAATGCATTTGCACTGTATCATCCCAGTGTTGCAGGCTAACACACCCACCTGCAGAGGTGGCGCAGCAAACTCCTGGAGAACCATAATATGAATTACATTTGGGAAGAGGAGCTGTGGGAGACAGGGTCTCTGTGTGTAACCCTGGCAGACATCAAACTCAGAGATCCTCCTGCCTCTGCCTCCCGAGTGTTGGGATTAAAGATGTTTTGTTTCCTTGAGTCTCATATAGCCTAGGCTAGCCTAGAGGTGGCCTTAACTCCTGACCTGCAGGTCTCCACCTTCCAAGGGTTTGCGGGCATTGCACCACCTGAACCAACGTTTTCTAATAAACAGGGGGGCTGCTCCAACCTGCAGCCTTAAGTTCACCTACCTTCCTAGGCTTTTTAAAAGTTCTTGGGACCCAAACGGAACGAGTTTAAGTTATTTTAACAGGGTGAGGGGAAGAGACTTCCGGCTTGAGGGAGACAAAAATGTCAAGCTCTTAGACACCCTTTTCCGGAAGAAGTAATCCCTGCTGGGCTTGAGCCTGAAGGACCACGGGTTTGGACAGAGGTTCAATCACCGCGGGCATGTGGTGCACTCATTCGTGTAATCTCACCATTTGGTAAGTGAAGGCAAGGGAGATCTAGAAGTCAAGTTCATACCTGGCTGCGCAGCCTATCTACGGGACAACGACAGAAGTCCGGGTTCCGAAAAGACCGGGGAGGGGGGAAGTGTATGCACGTGGGCGATTCCTTGGCCCTTTAATGGTTGGCATCGTCCAAAGGCCACCAATCCGCTACCGATTCGTTAGTTAATGGCAGCCTTCCCCGCCAATAGGCTGTCTGACGTTAGTCCCCGGCGCCCAATTGCGGCGCGTTACTGGGTGACCTAGCGGTTGCGCAGGGGTAGAGCGCTCCGGGGCGTCCCATTGGCTGGATCAAACCCAAGCGAGTCTGTGATTGGCTGGAGTTGCGGGAGGGTTGCGATTCAAACGCGGGCGGCGGCCCGCAGCCCCGCAGTTGCTCTTTGGTCTCCGCACTCCTGTACCGGTGCCAGCGCTCCCCGGGATGGCCTCGCAAAACCGCGACCCAGCTGCCGCCAGCGTCGCCGCCGTTCGCAAGGGAGCCGAGCCCAGCGGGGGCGCCGCCCGGGGCCCCGTGGGCAAAAGGTGAGTGGTATGGAGGTCACCCCTGGGGCCTCACCCCCAGGAGCCGGTGAGACTTGGGACACATGAGGGGCACCAGGAACGCAAGAGATGAAAGGCTGGTGGCGCTGCCAGTCGGTTCTCAGAAGACGCCCTAGGAGCGCTGCGGTTATTTAACATGCAGCAGAAGGTTCACCCGGCCCTCCTGTAGATGACTAGTGTGCCCCAGCTTAACCTGCCTTTGAAGAAGGGGCGAGGCCTCCATGACAGCTCCTCAGGATAGTAGAGTGGGAGGTAATGTAGTACCTCGGCGACATCCATGCCTCGCAGTAACCCCTACTTCTCTTGGCAGGCTACAGCAGGAGCTGATGACCCTCATGGTAAGATCAATTGGCTCCCCCTCCCATCCCCCACCCAGTTACCCGTAGCCTTCTTTCCTGCTTCAGGCTCCTTGCTAATCCGATGGGTGTTTTACTCTTTCGTGGGCAATCCTTCCGTCACCCACCCTTACTAGATTACAGCAGCTGCCTTCCCCATCACAGGACGCTTATCTGGGCTCACCCCTATCTCCTTTGGGCCCCAGCTCTAACCTCACCCATCCCCACCCTTCTTGGAATTTCTAATCCCATCAGACTTTGGAATTCCCTCTTCTGGTGGTCCTGCTGCATTACCCTAAATATCAATCCTTACGTTCTAATGCCATATTAAGCATTTGAGTTCAGGCTGGGTGGTGGTGGCACACGCCTTTTATCCCAGCACTTGGGAGGCAAAAGCAAGCGGATCTGAGTTTGAGACCAGCCTGGTCTACAGATGGAGTTCCAGGACAGGCTCCAAAGCTACAGAAAAACCCTGTTTCGAAAAACAAACAAAAAATTCGAATGCCATGTGCTTCCCTGTTCCACCCTTCCTCCTAGCCTAGTGAGGAAGCTGTGATTTGCCTCTAGCTGCGCTGTGTAGGGCCCGACTGTGATATCAGGGCAGGCCCATCCAGTCAGTGATCGCCTTTGCTATGCCTAAAAGTATACACTGGAATCCTGAAGCTGGGTGTGTTCTCCCCCCAGATGTCTGGTGACAAAGGAATTTCCGCCTTCCCTGAATCCGACAACCTGTTCAAATGGGTGGGGACCATCCACGGAGCAGCCGGCACAGTGAGTGTGGCCTGGGAGTGGGTGTCACTTAGAGTGTGGCAGAGAGGTGAAATCCAAGTGCTAGGCTGGCTGCAGTTCCCTGGGCCTGCACACATGCCTGAGTCCTGTGGCCATGTTCTTTGAGTATAATGGAAAGGGCCTCTTTCCTTGGAGGGAGGACCTGGGCTGGTGGGAGACCACAAGCAGCTACCCTTTGCTAGAGATCTGGATTTAAGTCAGACAGGATCTGAGCCAAATCTGACTTTTCACTTTCTTAAGATACTAACTGCACCATTCTGGTGACCCTCAGGATTCCATGTCTTTTGATCAAAAGGTTGCTGATAGCCCCCTGATAGGAAGAGAAGGTACCAGGGACTAACTCAGACTCAAATTTGGGGGGACGGTGAGCAGGGGACTTACTCTGCCCTTCTTTCCCCAAATGCCAGGTATATGAAGACCTGAGGTATAAACTCTCACTAGAGTTCCCCAGTGGCTACCCTTACAACGCACCCACCGTGAAGTTCCTCACACCCTGCTACCACCCCAATGTGGACACCCAGGGCAACATCTGCCTGGACATCCTCAAGGATAAGTGGTCCGCACTGTACGATGTCAGGACCATCCTGCTGTCTATCCAGAGCCTGCTAGGAGGTAACTCGTGAGACCACCCACTCCTGCACACCATGGCCATTGGCCAGGGCCCCTGAGTCCACCTCTATCCCCCTGACTATTCTCACTCCATCCACAGAACCCAACATCGAAAGCCCTTTGAACACACATGCTGCTGAACTCTGGAAAAACCCCACAGGTAGGTCCTCCTCTGGCCTCCAAAGGGACCCTGGGCACTGTATTGAACTCTGCCCGGCTGCTGATCCCATACTCAAACTGATAGAGTAATCTTTGGATAGAATGTGCCTCCTGATCCCAGGTGATGGGAGTACACAAGGAGGCAGGTGGCCAGCCTGGTCTGGAAACAAGTCTGTGAAGGAGCCAACTAGAGGGCAACTGGGGGGAGGGGAGGGGAGGTCTGCTGTGCAGGAGGGTCGGGGGAGGTCTCCTGTGCAGGGAGAACACCCTGCCAGCCTCCCCTATCCATCTATCCCATCACTTGCCTGACACCTGCTTGTTCTCTTCCAGCGTTTAAGAAGTACCTGCAGGAAACCTATTCAAAGCAGGTCTCCAGTCAAGAAGAGCCTTGACCAAGATGTCCAACCTCTCTTTTGTGTCGTCTTTTTTTCTTAGATGGTCTGTCCTTTCCTTGGTTTCTATTCTAAGCTGTGGTGTTATTTTTGTTTTATTTGTTTTTTTAAATTAAGTCTACTTGAGCCCTTACATGTATATTAAATAAATACACATTGATTGTTTTTGTATAGATTGCTACCTCAGAGTTGATTGTTTTTGTATAAATTGAGGCTCAGATGCCAGAGGTACTTGGGACAAGACGAGGTCTAGCTTAACATCTGGGTTCTAGCTTGTTCCTTACAGGGTTGGAAGCAGCTAATAGACAGTGAGGCTGAGTCACTAGGATGCTATTTATCATACTGCACACATTCTTTTCATGTATTTGCCCGGAGGTATAGCTCTTGGGCAGAGAGCATGTTTAAAACCTGTGAAGTCCTGAGTTCAATTCCAGCACCAGAAATAATGTCTATTTGTGAGGTATCACAGCAGGTCCTGTGACTGTCAGCAACAGTGCCTGTTACAGTGAGGCTAAAGTAGACCCTTTAGCTCAAGAATGTGTAGGAGAGGTGGCGCAGTAGACACCCGCTTCCTAACATGTCAAATGGGGTACCCAGGTTGCCCACTGCAGCCCAAAACTCTGGGAAAAACAGACTGAGCTCTGGACCCAGATCCCCCACAGATGGCTCCTGCTCCATCCCCATGAGGTGACTGCCTAAGTTGTCAGCTCTGCAAGAAGCTGGTTGTACAGGCCTGTGGAAAGAGGCAGGGGATGAGTCTAGTCTATTAACTACTGTTAGCCAGAGCTCAGTCCTGGGCCCTTCCTACAGTCACATGTGAAAAAAATGTGAGCTGTCAGCTCAGAAACTAGTATTTTTAGTGTTTCTCTTGGGCATAGAGCTTTATCCATCAAAATGTGGACAAACCCACTTGGGATCTTGTTAAAGTACAACTTCCCTTGGAAGGGCAGCAGACGGTTGCTTCTGGTGAGCCCCAATCACTCTTGTTGCAGGCTAAGCTAACAAGGTGTTCAGCAAAGGGTGTTCAGTTGGAAGAGTGCTTGCCTATCATGTATTAGACCTTGTGTTCCATCCCCAGTACCACATTAACCTTGTGTGTGCCTGGAACCCCAGCACTCCAGGGAAGTACAGGCAGGAAGATCAAAAGTTCAAGATCTTTAATCCTAGCACTTGGGAGGCAGATCTCTGTTGAGTTCGAGACAAGCCTGGTCTACAGAACTAGTTCCAGGACAGATTCCTGTCTCCAAAAAAAAAGTTCAACATCATCCTGGACTTCATCGTTTGAGGCCAGTCTGAGATATACCCTGTCTAGGAAAAGGAAGGGAAACTGAGCCAGGTGCTGGCAGTGACTCCCCTATAGTCCCAACACTTGGAGGCAGAGGCAGGACTGCTAAAATTCAAGGCCAGTCCAGTCTATATAAAGTTTTAAGGCAAAAGTATATTATCAAGGCACTATCACACACCACACACACACAAGTCCGACATGATGAGGCAAAGAAAAAAGGGGTGGTCATCAACAGAGGATGCCTGAGAACAGGACAGCTCAGAAACCTGCACTACATCAGCTCCAGACAAAGGCTGAAGAGACTATTTGTGTCTGCATTAGAAGGCTGTGACATGAGCCGGGAGTTGGTGGCGTACGCCTTTAATCCCAGCACTCTGGGAGGCAGAGGCAGGCGGATCTCTGTGAGTTCCAGGCCAGCCTGGTCTACAAGAGCTAGTTCCAGGACAGCCTCCAAAGCCACAGAGAAACCCTGTCTCGAAAAACCAAAAAAAAAAAAAAAAAAAAAGGCTGTGACATGTTTAATCCTCTACATGGTCAGCTGACCTCCCCTGTCACGAAGACCCAGAGTCGTAACTAGTTAAGGACCAAATAAGACAACAACAAACAAAACAAAATAACATTTTTCCCCAGATTTATTTTATGCGCGTGCACCACATAGGTGCCTGGTGCTCACAGAGGTCAGAAGAGGGTTTTGGGCCCCTGGAAGTGGGATTACAGATGGCTGTGAGCTGCCATGTAAGTGCTGGGCACCAAACCCAGATCCTTGTCAAGAGCAGTAGTTGCTGTGCTAGGGGATGGCTCAGAGACTAAGCACACTCAGCTGTTATCATGAACTAGGCAAGCAATGGTGGTGACGAGTTATAAGACTGAATGGGTAATGACGCAGCAGATAGTGGGCAATTAATAAATATTCCTAACACATGCCAGCATTAGTGTGGGCTGAAAACAAAACGGAGAGGTAGATGAATGGAGCAAAAACGGGGAAGAGGAACTGGAAGGTGCTGCCTGCAAGCCTGGCAGCCTGAGTCCAATCCCAGGCTACATGTAATACAAAGGGAGAAGGACTCCCAAAAGTCGTCCTCTTACCTCTCTACATGTGTGCCATAGCATGGGTACACACCAAACACACGTGACATAAATGTAATAAATGTAATTTTTAAAATAATTAAATGGAGGGCCGGAGAGATGGCTCAGTGGTTAAGGGCACTTGATCTTGCAGAGGACCTGGGTTCAGTTCAAGCACTCACACAGTGGCTCACAACCCTCTGTAACTCCAGTTCCAGGGGGTTCAATACCATCTTCTGGCCTCCTCAGGCACCAGGCATACATGTGTTACACAGACACACATGTGGGTAAAACATTCACACACATAAATCTTAAAGAATAGAAATGTTTCTATGGATGCCAGGCATTGGTGACACATGCCTTTAATCCCAGCACTCGGGAGGCAGAGGAAGGCGGATCTCTGTGAGTTTGAGGCCAGCCTGGTCTACAGAGTGAGTTCTAGGCTAGCCAGGGCTACAGGAAGAGATCTTGTTTCAAAAAAGTAAAAATAAAAAACGGCAGTATGGGTGATTTTACTTTTTTTTGGGAGGGGGAGTTTGAAGCAGTTCTCTGTGTAGTTTTGGAGCCTGTCTTGGAACCAGCCTGTAGACCAGGTTGGCCTCAAACTCACAGAGGTCCACTTGCCTCTGCCTCCTGAGTGCTGGGATTAAAGAGGTGAGCCTCCACGTGCCAAAAGGGTGATCTTAATAATAGCAAAAGGCGAGCCGGGCGTTGGTGGCACACGCCTTTAATCCCAGCACTTGGGAAGCAGAGGCAGGCAGATCTCTGTGAGTTCGAGGCCGGCCTGGTCTACAGAGCGAGTTCCAGGACAGCCTCCAAAGCCACAGAGAAACCCTGTCTCGAAAAACCAAAAAAAAAAAAAAAAAAAAAAAAAAAAAGCAAAAGGCACATGTGCTGGACACAATGGAATGGAGGAGAAATGCGGCTCAGTGGCACTGCATTTGCTTCGCATGCTCCTGCGCCCCATCTCCAGAACCAAGTAAGTGCCAGCATTTATTAAATGGTGTCTGCTGTGTGTCAGGAGCTGTTCTAAGCACTTTGCACACAAGTATTCTAGAATTCCTATCCCCCAGTAAATACTCGTTGTCTTCATTTTACAGATAAGGAAAGTGAGGCACAGAGAAATTGAATTTGTCACAGGCAGTGAAGACTGAAACCCAAGAACCTGACTCCCAGGCTAATGTACTGCACTCTTTTAGCTCTTGGCAGTTGGTTCATGGAGCTGAGCGAACCAGTTGGGGGCTGACCTCCAGGTTAGAGACGGTATCTGAGCCCAGGCTTGTAGGTTGACGAATCTGCCAGGTTCCTAAGAAGGGGAAAGGCATTCTGAGGGTGAGAATTTCACCCTATTTCGGGACAGGATTCCATCTTAGCTAGGTCATGCCCTTGGCCCTCTGGAGCGCAATGGAGCGGGCTGAAGGGAGGGAGATGGGGACCAGAGCAGTAATGTCGCTCTCTTCCAGCTTTGCGCCTGGAACAAAGTAGTTCATGCTGGTGTCTGGGATGGATGGATAGACTCGTCCTCGCAGGAGGAGCCTGCAGAGTGTGAACTACACCCAAGACCCAAAAGTTTCCAGAAATGATGGAGAAAAAAAGCGTTGCCCGCTCCCAGGTTCCAACTTCCACACACCTTCATCCTACCCATCCCAGGCGCCTGTGCTGGACGCGCCGTCAGCTCATCCTGCCGCTCCCCCCCACCAGAGCCAGGCGCAATTGCAGCCCACTTGCCAAACCGCGCAGTCAGCGCCAGCTGCGGGTAGCGGGCTATGGACCTGTAGAACCAACCGGTCGAGCACCGCCCAGCACTCCACAGCCAGTGCCTCGGGCTCGCATGACCCAGTTCCTTTTCCTATGCTCCGGGGAACTCTCTGAGCACCAAGCCAGCCAGGCGACCCCTAAAATCCCTTGCCCTTAATCACTCACTCCCCCTGTCAGTCAGACCAGCTTTGCATTGTCAGCTTTTATTCCTTCCAGCCACAAAGCCCGAAGGAGCGACCCTTCCCTGGAGGGGCGGGGAAGGCAAGGGTGGAGGTGTCCACACCCAGGAGACCTGCGTTCTGGGTGGAAGCAAAGGCCGGCTCCTTACTGAACGCCCTCCATCATCTTCAGGAACTCTACAGAGAAAAAAAGAGGGACGAGGTTAGGAATACCACTCCGGGTGCAGAGACACGGCCTGGGCTCCCGGCTCGCAGAGGGGTGCCTAGTCGTTAAATTGCACTAAGCTGCAGGAGCGCTCTACAGGTTCTTAAGGGGGGGGGGGGGGGGAGGCTTAGTGAGGCTAAGAGCATCCGCTGACTCTCACCATCAAAGTCAATGCGGCCATCGTTATTCTTATCGCCGTCCTTCATCAGGGATTCGATCTCCTCATCTGTCACGTGCTCCCCAGAAGCCCGGAAGATCTCAGCCAGCTCCTCGGCGTCAATGTAGCCGTCTGCGTTCCTTTGGGAACGAGGGACAGAGCGGGACACGCGAAACCGGTGAATTGCTGGAGCCATGCCTGATGCTCACCCCCTGACCCTGGCCAGCCTGCTCCCTCACTTCAGGCCAGCAGGCTCCACCCACTCCCAAGCCCGTGATCCCGGAAGCCACCCGCACCTGTCAAAGATGCGGAAACACTCTGCCAGCTCCTCTTCGCTCTTCCCCTTCGCATCCTCTTTCATCTGGCGCACCATCATGACCAAGAACTCCTCAAAGTCGATGGTACCGCTGCCTGTGGGGACCGGGAGTCACACTTAGCCCAGAGCGCACTGAGAGTCTCCCCCACCGCCCCTTGCCTGGAGGGCCCAGCTCACCATCCTCGTCCACCTCCTCAATGATGGCGTC